CAAGAGTGCAACTTGTGACAGCAAACTGCTTTGCTTTATACCCCAAGTGAAGCAAGTAGGGAAGTCTATTTTTCAATAATAACAACAGGAAGTTTACACAGACAAAGCGTAAGAGGAAACATATGGAAAGCCATAGAGGACAAAAGTAGTCGACAATTTTTTTCCATCGAGATGTTTTATAGTCCAGCTAGACAACTTTTTATAGTGGACAATTTTTTTGGAGTCGAGAATTTTTTCGGCAGTCGAGAATTTTTCGGCAGTCGACAATTTTTTGACGTCCAGAATTTTTTTGGCAGTCGAGAATTTTTTGGCAGTCGAGAATTTTTTTGGCAGTCGAGAATTTTTTGGCAGTCGAGAACTTTTTTGGAGTCGAGAATTTTTTTGACGTCCAGAATTTTTTTGGCAGTTGAAAATGAAAATCTAAGTGTGCTTATAAACTAAGAAAAGATGGCGAAACTCTTTATTTCAATACAGTGGTTTTATTAGAAATGTCAAACGTCTCAAGAGCTGTCGACGAAGATTTAGAAAATCTGTTATTATCGATACAAGACTGTATAGAACGTATAGATAGGAACGAATTTCTTGGTAACTTCAATTTTTCAGAACATTTATGTGATCGCCTTGAAGGACATATTCGAGTAATAATGGCCATCTCCTTAGTCCTTAGAAATCAACAACATCCCATATCGCCGCTCATAGCAAACTTACTCATTAAATTGAGAGAAAAACTTCGATTTCTGCGAACACAGATTACTTTATGTAATGAGCAAGCTGCGATACGTTGTACAATTCCAGTCCCGCAAGATGCAAGCTCTGGTGGCAGACGTAGATACATAGTTACAGCAGACCAAATTGAAGAATTACGCAGTACGGGTATGAATTGGAAAGCTATTGCCAGTTGCCTGGGAGTGAGTGCCAAAACTCTTTACAGAAGAAGAATAGACTATGGTATAGCAGACACTTACTGTGACATAACAGAACAAGAACTTGAATGGTACATTAGAGATATTTTAAAATTGACACCCCTCTCTGGCGAAACTTACGTAAAAGTGCTTAGCGTGGTCGGGATATTCATATCCAAAGTGGAGAGTTAGTGAAGCATTAGAAACTATTGACCCTATTAACCGTGACATAAGACGGAGATACGCTATACAAATGCGAGTGTACAATGTGAGGAAACCAAATCATGTCTGGCACATTGACTCCAATCACAAACTTATCACTAGATTTGTCCTGCATGGTTGCATCGACGGCTATAGCAGAACTATTATTTATTTGAAATGCTTCACGAACAATCTTGCGCATACTGTTTTGCAATGTTTTGTCAATGGTGCACAAAGATTTGGGCTTCCATCTCACGTACGTGGCGATGGGGTTGGAAATGTACGTTGCACGGTTTGATAGCTAATAGACGTCTAAACAGAGGAAGCTTTATAGCCGGACGCAGCGTGCATAACCAAAGAATTGAGCGTCTTTCGGCGAAGGTGAAAAGAGTGAGTTCCTCCTATTATAAAGATCTATTCCAATTTATGGAGGAAAGCGAGATTCTAGATGCGCACGATGAAATCGATTTGTATGCTCTGCACCATGTTTACATTCCTGCAATTCAAGCATCGCTCAATGAGTTTGTCAACCAATGGAATCATCATGGACTTCGAACTATGCGGAGTATGTCGACCCTAGCATTATGGCGTTCTGAGCTTAATGAAACTGATTTAACAGACGTAAATATCGATGATGTAAATTTATATGGCATCGATCCTGATAGCGCGGTAGGTGATATAGAAACTGTCCATATTGTTGTTGTCCCTGAAAAATCAGTTGAGTTGACCGACGATCATGTCATTGAAATACGCCGGTCACTTGAAATCAATAGCTTGCAAACCTTTTTCTGGTTTAGCTTTTTTGCTTGATAAAAACTCACCAAACTCTCAGCAGTTTCAAATTGCTTGAAACGATTCAGTAGCTTCAGGATCAGTGACCATGCATTAGCCACGTATTTGGACGCTGTATTATTTCTTGATGAGCTAACTCCTCAATAATTTTTGGCATCGAGCTCTTTTTAATCACCCTGCAGCACTTGTAACTTGAAAGCACGTCCGCTCCATGTCATAACACTTTTGGTAAAAGTGAGTGATCGATTTCTGCTGATAAAAATTATCACATTTCAATAATATTAATAGTACTAATAATAATAACAATAATACTAATAATGCAAGTACTAATTAGGATACTAATGGAAAAATGCTAGGGTACTTGGGATTACAATTAAAGATAACAGGCAAAAAATATTCAACTAGTTTGTATAGTTTCTTTGGCATACTCTATAAAAATAAAAATGAAAATAGTACTGATGATGATAATGATGATGATGATGATGATAATGATGATGATGATAATGATGATAATGATGAATATCGTGGAAGATTTTAGGAAGATATAAGGATACATTTAACAAAAGTATTTCAAACAATATGGCTTTAGGGAGGGGCTTAATTGTTTTTATTATAAACTATTTAATGTAGTTGTGATTATTTGATTCTTTAACTGGGTCAAGAACTTTAACAATGTCTGACTCATTTTATTTTCATATACATGGAAACATCAGTTACCTTGTAAATCAAATGGTTCTTCCAAGCTTGTTTGAAACAATTCACACTGGTTGTTTTGCATTTCAGTAGAAGGTTCAGTATTGGTCATATCTGCAACAGTATCATCAAACTGCTTATCATTAATGGCTTCATGTTGCTTTTAGGATTCATCTATGACCACAGTAGCTTGATTTGTTTCTCCAAATTGAACTTGATTTGCTTGATAAGTTAAAATATATGAATAAGTGTTTATGACAAATACTGAAGTATAGACATTAGACAATTTTGCTCCTTTCAATGTGTAAAAAGCTTTATATTATATATTTTAATCTTTTTTCATCTCTAGAACATGTATATATACTGCTATAGTTTTCTCAAGAGATTTTACTCCAAAACAATAAAGAAAAACAATATTTTATCAAATCCTAACTTGAAAATTGTTTTTTAAGATTTCATTATGACTTGAGTCATTTGATAACCTCCAGAATTCATCATCCTCAACATCATCAAACATATTTTCTGGAAGGTTATAGCTTTTACGTTTCTCTTTATTTGTAGACTGATTTAGGATTTGTCTACATGGCCTAATATAAACTGGTTTGTTGTTACTAAAGATTATGTTGTTAAAAAAATTCTCGACTACAAAAAAATTCTCGACTGTAAAAAAGTTATCTGGACTATAAAACATGTATTCTCAACAGTAAAAAGTAATCTCGATAGACAAAACTCATCTCAATCAAACAAATAAATTCACGAACAGAAAAAGATTCTCGACTACTTTTGTCCACTATGGCTTTCCATATTAACATTTGCATTCAACTGGTAACTGTCCCGAATTTTTCGCGTTTGTTTAGGTTTCAAACGTCACGTTTGTCAGACGAAACGTCGGGTTTCAACTGGTAAACGTTACTTTTGCCCTAATCGCGGAATACTAAGTTTGTAACAGCTCTTTCTTATATTATACGTCCAATTATCAAACTCTGCAAATCGTTTAAGGTATACAGATGTAATTTTCAATTGCTACAGCATTTTATCATTGGAAAATCGTATAAACATGTTAATCACATAGCCAAAACCTGTTCAAATAGTTCCTCCAACGTTAAACATTCCTGAGCAAACATTACGTTTCTAATTTGTAACCCTACGTTTCGTCTGACAAACGTGACGTTTGAATTGTAAGCAAACATGAAAACTTCGGGACAGCTACCAGTTGAATGCAAATGGTAATATTTGTAATCGATGTAAAATTTTTTAAAATCGTATGGGAAAAGTAGCAAAAAACAGCACAACCCATTGTAGCAAAATTACCGAACATATATTCATTATTCAAGTGTCGCATCTTATAATGTAAATAAATACAATTTGTATGAAGTGCGTTGATTTATCGGTTCACTGAACAACATATCACTTATTATATACGTCAGAAAATTATTTGAAAAAAAAGCTGATGAAATTGAATATTTATATCAAAAAATAGTTTTCAGTAAAAATTTCAATGATTATTTATCTAAATTCGTTTGAAATCATATTTGACCATTTTTATTTTTTGCAACTTAAACTTAACGATGTAAGCACGTGAGCTAAGTCGCGTGACATGTAATATATGCAAGAGCGTTTGACAAGTCAACAAATGGGTGTGGGGAAGCATTAAGGTGCATGGCAAATAGATAGACCCAAATCAAACTTTGAAACTGTTGGAAATTGAAAAAATGTGCTTTTAGCTCACTCGCCATTCAAATGTCCAACTACGTAACCCTTTCTAAATACGGGGAGCACATACCAAAATATTTTTAAGTAAACAATTCGTCGTACTGTGTTTGAAATGTATCAAAAGGCTTGATGTATTTTTATATGACTTTATCTTCATGTAGATTCACCTCGAGAAGTTTACTTTAATACATTTAAGACTGGTATGAAAATACAGTCATTTGCTTTCTTCTTTACGCTTTGCTCACCAAAGCACTGTGACCAGAGTGAGGATTATACATTATAAGCGCAAACGAAAGGATTTTAGAAAATGACATTGTTTATGATTCATCTAGTCTGAATAAAGAGGTCAATAAACCCACTACTCTATTACTTACAACCATATCACAACCTATAACGTATTACATCTATCAAACATGTTTGGTATGTACCACTCTCTGATTCCGAAAGACCTGTTTGGGTTGGTCATTCGACTAAAGATTGAGCTCATAGCACATTTTGCAATGTCGAAAATTTTTATAAATTACGTACTTGCCGTCAATGTTTAAAACAAAGTTCAATGTTTAATATATATTATGTACTTGCCGTCTATTTTGTGGCTACCCACATGTACGCTCCACGTACCTATGTTTTGTGTGATGATTGTTGGCTTCTTTCCAAAGAAAATTTGTATTAATTATTTCATTCATTACAAATTTTGAAAATGTTATAAAATCAGCGCAACTTCCATGGTATTTTGAAAAATCGCTACTAATCAATACGGATCTCAGTCACTTTCACTTCACTAGAAGATCGAACATCAATAGGATTTGGGCTCCATCGTCACATTCACATCAAACGAACTTAGCAAATATTACTTTTGAATAGATCTAAAAAAACTGCTTTCCACCATTGAGGTAAATTTTCATAGTATTCTATATAATCATTAATAAATTTCTTCTTTATAGTTGAATTTCTGAATAAAACTGATTCTTTGATGATGGCTATTTATTATTATCATAACTCAATTAGTACGTTATAAGGAACACGCACAAAGCATCAAGGCAATGCACATTGAAAAGCAAATCTTTATGCAATTATTTGCCCTTTTCGAAAGCTATTTCCATCGTTTCTAGGTTTGTGCATTGATAGTTAGGATTTATTGACTAGATAGACTAAGGTTAGGATTTATTGGCTAAGATGTTCATGTTTTTCTCAACTTATGTTACCATGTGCAGTACCACTATTAGTATTTACTGTGACAATATTGACTGTTTTTTTTCAAGTCATATCAGCAATATTTACTCTGTTGTTGATGTTTCGCAATAGGTTTGTGGCATTGGCAATTGGTTCGTCTATTCAATTTGCTTCTGCCAACTTTATATTGAACTGCCATGCTTTGTGTCAGCTTTTGAGAACTCAAGGGCCATTTTGTTGCTATGGCAAAGCTAATTACAATTATATTTTTAATTGTATGCTATTGCAGTTTTTATCAGAAAGTATTAACACATGACAACAAATGGGCATTTTTTGTTTCTGGGTCTTTCTTCGTTTTTTAAGAAGAAAATTCTTACATGATAATATTTAAGCTCATTGAATCAGTGAAGCAAGTCAATCTTAGTTAATTGTAATAATTTAATAGTATGTCAACATGTTCTATCACTGTAAAGTTGATATTGTTTTTTCCTAATTTTTTAGATTAGTCATGTCATTGATCTCAAGTAACAATGACAGCTTGTTCTTGGTAATCCTTGTTCAATTTAATCCTTGTTACTTTCAATCAATTTTTCAAGAAGTCAGAGCATTTTTATAGAAAAAAAAATGTATCATGGGTATTGTTATACACAACAATCACATTAATTCTCATTTTATGGCCTGTACATGTAGAATGTCGGATAAATGTTTTACCATATTTTTATTTTGTTTGATAATTAAGCATGCTGATAATCCCTACCCAGAACAGAGCTGTTTGTCCTTTGCCATTTGCATCATTTGTTAACAGTGGAAACTTAGTTTTGATACACCGGCAAGTTTTAATGAAAGCATTTTGTTGTAACAAATATGACATCAAAAATAATACAATGTATGATTTTTATGCAATAATTTTTGACAAACATGAAAATTCCTGTTTCCATTTCTGGGAGGAAATAGATGTATCCAACAGCTAATTTAGCTTATCAAAACAGCTCTGGTGTTAATATTCTGGAAAAATTGTATTGTTTACTCTGTGTCTGACAATACTAATACTATTGGCCAGTCAAGTGTCTTTGACAGATTTAAGTGAAAATTTTGTATCTTTATTCATATTTTTTTGATATGTTTTTTGTAATGTATTTAGTATGCTTATGTATTTTTCTCCATCTTTTTAATCCCTATAGAAGAATAGTGGATGAAAAATTGCCATTGTAGAGAATTTTTAATTATTTCTCTTTAAAAAGAAAATGTGAAGGTATGATATTTGACCAAGCAAGGTATGTACCTTCTTAATTAGTTACAACAGTTTTTTTGCATTAATATGGCAATTTCAAGGATAAGCTGTATTTTTTATTTTGTATTTGGTGATGTGTAAATGGAAAAGTTCAAGTGGTCAACACAAAGGCAGAGTGCATTCACAAATACAAGGAGTGGGAATTATTTATCACTCACCTAATAGCTCAAAGTAAAAAATATGCTATGACATTTTGATTATTTTTTAGGAGCATAGGTATTTTCCTGCTCTTTTTTTTAAATTGTCAAAGTCTTATAGCATGCTGCCTTGTGGATTTTATTACTTGTTAAACATATAAGAGTGGTATATTTACTGAGAAAGCAATGTAAACCTATACGTTGTAGAGGCACTCTACACCTTAAATTCTACATTACCTGACAATGTAATGCAGCAACAGCCTGCTGTTTTGCAGGCTGTTGCTTTGAAAAATGTGAGAAAAAATTGTTCTAAGCAGCTTCATTTTGAAGTAATTGACATTCTGTCATATGGTTTCAGGATGTTGAAAGTTTGACATTTCTCGACTTAATGAATCCTTAAACTTTTCTAAGCGGAAAAGGGTGTTCCTTCTTGGATATTGGACAATCAAGGGAAAGTTTGTGTCACTTTAAAATGATAATGTGTAACTATGAAATATGGATCTGGTTTTCGTATGAATAACCCAATCAAACTCTTAAAGATTTATCTTTGAGATGAATATTTTAATGCTGAATATGAATAGTTTAAATTGAAATCTTTTTTGTGCGTGATTGTTGTTTCACGTTGTTTCCTGTAATCATGGAATGTCCTAAAAATTCACCCACTTTTAATTCAATTCCTTTCAAGTGTGATGTAGTTACTGCCTCCTTCAAAACCTGCTTTTGCCAATTTTTTTTGTAAAGCTGTCTGTGTTAGGTTCATAGTTATTCTAGATGTGTTTAGATTCTACATATATTTGTGTTCCCTATGCATCCTGCAGCATGATGAGCCCTGATATTGTGCTAAACAGGTATTTTACATTTCCTTTTCCAATTTGGTTGTTTGTTCCAGAACTAAATTTTGTAAGGATAAAACAACAGTAAAGTTAGGGCAAATTTTTTCCCCTTTCTCTATCCAACATTGAAGTATAAACTAACACGATTAGGCGAGATTAATTTACCAGCACCTGTTTCAATATTTCTCTGATGTGTGACTCAATGTAAAACAAAAGATAGCACTGTTACACTATGACATTGTAAAACCTGCACGAAGCAGGTGTAAAGTCACTCTTACACGTTGTATATTTAACGAGACACGGAAACTGGAACTCTAAAGTGGTTGTTATGGGGAAAGCCAAACTGCATGCTATAAAATGCAGTTGAAAACAGCAAATATCTTGTTTAAATTGTTTAATTTCAGTTCAAGTGATCAAGTTCATTTATCAGGGACAAAACTTCATAAAATTTTAATAAAATGTCTTTAGGAATTTTATGTTACAACCATAAAAAGGCTTGAGCTTGTGATGCTTGATAATTTCTGAAACTTTCAAAAAATGTTGAATTCCCTGCAATGAAAATTGTTTTGCTTAGTTCCTACATCGATTTGCCAAAAATAGGAAATGGTGCTTTGGGTTTATTCCTTTCAGGGATAACTTTTCTTGCATTACATTTGTTTCTATATGTTTAAAATAATTTTTTAGTTATAGATTCGTAGTCTAATGTAATACACTCTCACTAGTGTCGTAGACTTTGCCTTTAACTTGACATAATGTCTTCACATGTTCACAAATGTAGAAAAATTTCTTCTTGCACCTGATACAGCAGAGTTAAGTCTTTTTATTAGATCTTTCAACAAGGTGTAGCCTCAAGCATATGGCAACATACGAATCTTCTGTAAAAAGTAGAAATATAATAATTTAAAAAAGGAAACAATAAATTTATGTTGTTATTAGCCTTAACTTTTTTTGCTAAATTTTTAATCTGCTACGTATAAAATAAAGAACTGTTTTGAGAAAAAAGCTTTCAATAGCTTGCCAGTCACAAAACAAATATTTACCTACCATCAGTTGGAAAAATTTCTTCCTCAGCATCATCAACGTTTTCAGCGTCTCTCGTCAGTTTGAAAGACTTTGAAGCCATGCTTCCATTTCTAGCAACTGTTGTCTGTTTTGTTGTTGGAGATAAGTTCGTCTTTCATCTGCTTTCAGCTGCTAATTCTCAGCATATTGGCCATTGTGTTCTCTCTTCAACTACAATTTAGTAAAAAAGAGAATTCGTTATACATATGCTATAGACATTGCAACAATTTAAATACTTCTTGCAGGGTGACCTACGAAAAGGAATTAGCACAAATAATTGTGTATGCATTCAAAAGAAGTGGGCATAACACAATTTAGTCTGCATTATGAATGCAGCAATGCAAATATAACAATATGGGCATTAATGGTGTTGCCTGGAGTTCTCGTCTGGGAATAAAAACTCCTTAAGCTGAAAGGAATTTTGGAAGGGAAAGAGGCATAAATAATAGCTATTTGCTCCTTGCTTGATTTAGGTACACGCTTGTTTCTCCTTCTTGGAACTTATGGAAACCATGAATTAGTTTTTAAGACTGTTTTTACTCAGTTATGTCGCTATGGTTTTACAATGCTTTTGAGTAGTAAATTTGAGATTAAAATCATGTATGATAATACTTTTAACTTGTTTTGCTTTAATTAATACTGAACAAACCTTATCAAATCCTGCAGAAATGTAAAGTTGTTGTGAATGCTAATTACATTATTGTGCACAATAATTTTCAAATACATAATTAATTTATGTTGATTCTGTTTTTTTAGGACAACCTGCGTAGTTAAACAGCCAAAATGCAAAACTTAAAATAAAATGCACCTGGCTGGTTCCATTTTCGTTGACAACAAAACATAACTCTTCTTCTTTTGTTTTTTTCTTTCATCCATGTCATGTGTTCATTTGATGAATGATCATTCTCATCAGTTGGAAGCTATGAATTTACAATTCGTTTGTGGAGAGAACGCACAGACGTTTTGGATCGATAATTTCCTCTAGTACTTTTTGCCTCGTAAGAACTTGGAGATAGCGCTTGCAATGGTGGATATAGTCAAGTTTCTTCAAAAATTTTTTATATAATATTGGTTTAAAGAAGTTTTGATCTATGGTATATAACTTAGCAAGGGTAAGCAAATTAAATAAAACACCATGCAAATTTAGCTACAACATGTGGATAAGCTGGCATGATTATAACAAAGTAAACTTTGCTAATGTTGCTCGTCATCTATTTTAACTTTATGATACGTATTTCAACCTGTTTAGTGTGTATTTCAGGTTTCTTAGCAATTGAGGCAAGATTGCCCAGATGAAAGTTTAGTCTGTATGACATGGCTGCATTGATGGAGAATAATAAGTGAAAATAAAATAGTTTATGACATAAAGAAACTTACATAACTACCAAAAGCATCTACCAAGAAAGGGTGGATAGACACAGTTGATTTGCTCACAACTCTTCCTTGATCATGTGATAGAGCATTTAAAAATTAGAGGGCAGCTCTTCATAGTATTAGCTAAGCGTCTCTAAAACGTATTTGCATCCATCTTGCCTATAGGAAAATGGCACGTGCGGCGATAAGAAGTTTGAATGAATTTCTACCTCAACGTCTTTCATGAATGTATTCTGAGAAAGAGCATATCTTGCTGGAAGAACAAATGTGCTTTTCTACTTTCTTGCATTATCATTGTCATCCCTACATTGGAAAGAAAACAAAAAAAAACAACAAAATATATTCTTGATAAAATAGGAAATATCAGTGAGAAATTGAAGATAATCACAACCTATATATGCTGAGTGAAACAGCTAAAGGACTCATTCAGGGCTCATACATGATTACAATGCATTAATTCATACCTGAGAAAAAGCATTGTAAAATGGATTGTGCTGTGTGTTACATGTCATCTTTGCCCAATAAGAATAAAAACAGAACTACCCGACAACTCTGAGTTACATCATCATGTATCTTGGTTAATTTTAGATATTTTATATTATCATTTTGGATATAAAATTGCAAGTTTTGCGTAGCTAACTTTAATCCATTCATCTATTCTGAATTATGCAAATGTTTGTTTAAGCGAATTCATTTTCATTGCTCGTTCATTGAGATGCAGGCACATGATAAACAGATGTCTTGTTTATGTTTTCAATTTGTATTGCTGAAATACGTTTGGCTTTTTTGTTTTTCTTGGCGACTTTTCTCTTTAGTTAATGTTAAAATAACATTTTTAACATTATAAACTATTTTTAACATGGCAGTAGAAACACAATGGTTGCCTTTAATCTCCCTTGCGCTGCCCCTGGATAACATTGTGCTACCTGCAAATTAATGCTCACATGCAGACAATGTAAATTTTTAGATTTGGATAATTTCTTATACCATGTTATTCACCAATTTATTGACAGGCATGATATTATGAATTAAGTCATAATTGGATTTCACTCACAAATACTGTGTTACAATTCAGCAAAGTACACTATTGTAGTTTTCTAATGTAGCTAGTTGATCATAGTAGCTTTCAAATATGTATAAATGTATGAGCACTTTAATTTATTTTGCAAATGGTTCTATAGACGCAAGGATCTTTTGATTCGATCAAATTCTTCGTGAAAATGACATTTGTTCAAAGTTTTGCAGTTTATAATCTGTTGGCATCTTATTTATGGACAAAGGCTGATTCTACTTTCATGCTATGTGAAACTCGGCTGTTGTCAATTAGCTGAATGCATTCCATGCAACAAAAGTAAATTGTTTAGCCTGCTAGTTAGCTTCAACAAAACTAGATTGTGTAATCTGATTTGAAAATGTATGGTTTTAATTGCTGATACTTAAACTATAAAGATAATCCTCTCTAGATAAGAGACAAATGTAGATTTTATCAGTTGTTATCCACTTTAGCACGTCCATAAATACGGCAATTAACACTTAACACTTAAGCTGTATATACCTCACTCATTAAGCACGATTTGTGCATAAAGTATGTGTACACTTTCAATTGTCGTTACAAAATAACAAATAGCTGGCACTATAACAGTATTTTCTGTATATTTCCTGTCTTAAAACATCGGTTTCTACTTAAAAATAATAATCACCTTAACTACACATACGTCAATATATTGAATCTTGAACTGCGACGATTGTTGTCCAATGTTATTGCGATAAACAATACGTTATGATTCTTACATACCTTTATTAAAACCTATGGTAAATATCCATGCTTTCACACTTTGCTAGTGGATTTATTTTGTGGCAGTTGTTGTTTTAGGCTATAATTTAAATAACCTTTACTTACTCAAAATAAACATCCCTGTCAACTAAATATGCCGACCACAGTATAGATATCTCGACAGAAGGTCCACTCGTGTCGGAACCTTTAATGCTCGTGTCCCTCACTTTTCTGAAACAATTTCTAGGAACTCACGCCTTCTTTTTTGGAAAGATGATAAATCTTTGTAAAAATTGATATCTCTTTGTAAAAATTGATAACTCATTGTAATCAACAAAACTAACTATGTTGATCCGTCTCTGAATAAGGATTTGCTACGTTATTTAATCTATAACATTAATCAACTGCACGCTTACTGGTGTTAGCAGTACAAGCGGCATGGTAGGTAGCAATCAACAGCGTTGTCTTGCGGAATCCATGCAATAAATTTATGCAACTTGAAAAGAAAATCTTACGGCTTGATTTGTCAATTGTCAAAGATAATGTAATATATTCTTAGCAGAAATAAAACTTCATCATTTTACTTTTTTCATAGATTATGAGAATACGGTTGATTACGACTTGTTTACATGTAGTTTTTGTTTTACAGATACATTTCAACAATGGATAAAAATGTCAAACACACTTTAATGAGCGTCGGAATATATACTCACAAATCTTTGGACGGAATACAAACAAGATGTCTTCGCCTTCGATATGTATATTTAACTGACATTTGATTGACATGTTTCTATCATATATTTATAATTATTACTCTGATCTTTCTTACACTCCCCAGGGCTGACATAATAAAAATGTTGTCAACAAACAAAACAAAAAAAAACAAAACTATTTTTTGCTAAGAATGTACAGTTGTTTAGAGCTTGTTTGTATTCTGCAATCTTCGCCATTGTCCTGTTATGCCCGCGCTGCGTTGTGGTCGATTGGTTGGACGAAGCACTTGTTCTTCTTCGCCGTTCTTATCGCTCTCTACTCTTTCGTTACTGTCTTTTTCCTGATGAACGTCAATTGGGATAAGTTGCCTGATAGAACGTCGTAACAAGTCTGAATGACTAGAGTCTCCACGAAGGACTCTGACTTGTGCAGCTCGTGTAATTCCATCGTCACCTTGTAACGATTGTTCAACTTTCGCCACCTTCCAAAAGATACGTTTTGTTTGATCATTGCAAATAATGACGATATCTCCCACTGCTATTTCGGGATTTTGATTACCTCTTGATTTTGAAGTGTATTGCTCTCGTGAGGCTAAAAGATACTCGTTTCTCCATTGAAGAATAAAACGCTGCAGCAAATTTTTGTGATGTTTCGCCTTTCTCGTCAAAGATTGATAGGTGCTCTGAATTTCAAAGTGCTCACTGTTTGGCATGGTCATTGTTCGTCTTCCATACACCAAGTGCGACGGGCTTAGCGGAAGAGATACAGCTTCTTCATCGTCGTACACGTAGGTTAGGGGTCGTGCCTTTATTACGCCCTCGATTTCAACCACAATAGTATGCAACTCGTTGTAGGTTAGATTGGTTCTACCAACTTTCTTTTGCAACGGACGTTTCACGCTTCGAATCAAACGTTCCCAGAAGCCTCCCACCAAGGGGCCTTTTCGACGATAAATTGCCATGTAATCTGATGGTTTGCAAGATAGCGCAACACTTCCTCAGAACGACATAACTTGCGAATTTCTAAGCATGCAGCTCGAAAAATCTTAGCATTATCGGATATAAGAAGAGCTGGCAGTGCTCGTCGACTAGCGTATCTGCGGAACGCGCGGAGAAAGGCTGGAACGCTTAAGGAAGGAATGAGCTCCAGATGAATGGCTCTAGTAGACGCACACGTAAACAATACAATATGCACCTTTAATGGATTATCCGACAAATTATTCCTTTCGCAACTCTCTCGTACGAACAACGGTCCTGCAAAGTCCAAACCTACGTTTGTGAAAGGGGGATCATCCGACACTCTACTAACAGGAAGATCTGGAGGAGGCGTTCCCTCATAAGGAAGACCTTCGGCTTTGCGACATACGACATTTTCTGACGATTTTCTTTACTGCTTCTCGACCACGGATTATCCAAAAATGCTCTCTAATGGTTGTTAGTGTATCACGAACCCCGCTGTGCTTCACATTGTGGTGAGCCTCGCATATTAATAGCTCCACAAATTTTGATTACTTTGGAAGCAATACAGGATTTTTGCTCTCCAGATTCAGTGATGAATTCTTCAGTCTCCTACGGCACTGCAGCACGTGATCATCGTCGAGAAATGGCCCAAATTGCTTAACGTAAATAGGTATTGAAGAATTCGCATTCTTTGACGGAAGGAATAATATTTCCTTTTCCAAGGATAGTTGTTGAATAGACCTTATCCATAGCAGCTTCACCTTCCTTATTTCGTCTGAGCTTGGTTCTTCTGAGGTTATGAGTTTGTTTGTTGTTCGCTCGCACCGTGGCATCTTCTTTAATATGTTGATGAATCTCATTACATAAGCAGTTATTCGAAGAAGTTTGTTCGTGGAGCTATAACGAGCAATGTCGATTGCTTTGTTAAGATCTGGCATGGCTCGTTGTTCGATTTCATTCGAAACTAGTGATCTTACGACATTCGGATGCTCTTTCACAATTTCCCTCAGAACTTCTTCACTTTGTGAGAGGTTGCCAACTGGACGTTTTGGCCACTCTTCTTCGTCCCTTGCCAAGAATTTGGGTCCATTGAGCCATGAAGAAGAATTCGCCCAGAAATACCTCGTGAGGGTAAATCTGAAGGATTAAGTGATCCAGGACAAAAGTTCCAAGATTCCGTCAACGAAATACTTCAAATCTTGTTCACTCGATGCTGCACGAATGGTTTCCATGCTCGATCGTTTCGTATCCAGTGAAGTGCTGTCATCGAGTCAACCCAATAAAAAACTTCCAGACTCTACTTGAGTACCTTTAACAAAGACTCTACTAACTTCTCTAGTACAGTCGCTGCCACCAGCTCTAATCGTGGAATCATTTGCTTTTTCACTGGTGCGACCTTTGTCTTTGAAGCGATTAATTTCACGTCGATGGTTCCATTCTCATAGACTGTTCTTACATAGACAACAGCACCAATTGCACTTTCAGATGCACCACTGAATCCATTAACTTGTGTAGTATAGTATTTCGGTTGGAATAGATAATACTTCCTCGGCACACGAACATCATTTCGAAACCTTAACTCTGACAATAAAACGTTCCACTGTTCACGTCGATTGCCATGCAGTTCACAGTCCCATCCCAATCTATCAAAGCACATGATTTGAAACAGAATCTTGAGCCTTATCGTAAAAGGAGACAAGAATCCAAGGAGATCAAAGATTTTAGATGACCATTTCAACAACGATCGCTTTGTGACAGGTAATGAATTGGCGTAGTCGATTATTTCAGTCAAATTGAACAGAAATGTGTCCTCCACCGTATCCCACACCATTCGTAGTACTTTGACTTGAGTGGGATCCGTGAGCAGCGACTCTTTGCAATTGTCGACTTTGTAAAGGACTGATCATCTTGAGTAACGCATGACTTTTCACTAATCAAGCTCAAATTCTTTTTACCTTCTAACGCTTCGATACACTTTACTACGTTACTGGAATTCGAGCTCCATTTTCGCAAGTTGAATCCACCCTTGGCCATCAACTGCTTTGTTCCCTTGTATATTTGCAAAGCGGTTTCATCGGTTTCGGCACTGGACACAAAATCATCGACATACAGAGAATTTTTCAAGTGTTCAACCGGTTCTGGCTCCTGCTTCTCGTGTGTCTTCAAATGATGGTTGATAGTAGCTCCTAGAATTGCTGGCGAAGGTCGTAGACCAAAAACCAATCGACAAAACCTTAGCTTTAATACTTCTGAATGCGGATCCCTAGTATCCCTTAGCCACAAAAAACGAAGCATGTCTCTATCTTCCTTGTCAATTCCAATCATTAAGAATGCTTTCTCAATGTCAGCAACTAGCCCAATCTTGTTTTGTCGAAATTTGACGAGAAAATCAAAGATTTGTGCAATGAGGTTCGGCCCGGTCAGTAAGCAATCGTTTAGTGAAAAGTTACGCAAGTTCGTCGTAGCAGATCCTCGTACACAACGCGTAGCTTCGTAGTAACCTTATCCTTTCGTATGACACAATGATGGGGAAGATAGTGAATTTTACCACAATCCTTATCAGATGCCGGAACCCTTTCGACTATTCCTGCTGCCAATTGTTCAGTAATACCATTATTGTATTCTTGAAGATTTTGTGGAATCTTTAGCAGCTTTCGATGCAATGATCTCAATCTATTATGACAGAGTTCGTAATCGTCATCAATTTGCACATGATCATTTTTCCACGGCAGACCAAATTCGTAGCGTGTTCCAGTGAATTGAATATTTTGCACAAAATCTTGTTCCTCGGGTGAGTTCTCCGAGTCAAAGGAGTCAATGCCAACGCTCTCAGTTTCCCAAAACGCTTCAATGATATTGTTAACTCATCCCTATCGGTTACGACAGTAGAATTATCAATGCAGTCAGCTGCTAAAATGAGGCTGTTCAGAGTACGTCCGTCTGATTTTTGTGATGACCATCCAGACAAAAGCCATCCCAATTTGCTGCTCATCGCTGTTGGACCATTTTCTCCTCGTACGACATCACCTGTGACTACGTCCCAATAATGATCAGCTCCTATCATAATGTCGATTGAATCACAGCTACCATTTTTATCGGAAGAATCAAAGTCTGCAAGTTCTAAACCATGGAAATGTGGATATTCGTCTATATTTATCCTTCCAGGAAGTGGTGCACATATTGTTGGAAATGCGATTGCTTTAATCTCTACTACCTCACCTCCACTCTTGCTTGCAATGCTCACCTCGAACACTTCGCAGCTTTCTCGTTTACTCTTCCTTTGGCCAAAGGTATTTAATTGAAGTGTCTCCTAACCAATTGAATTTAACCTTAACCGGCCTTGAAGTAACCTTCGAATGTAAGACCTTTGGCTTCCAGTGTTAAAGAGAATTCGTGCTGGAACAGATAGCTCTGGCCGTCTGCAAAAGAACACTTCCCTTGACAGTTCGTGTGACAGCTGTTGTGGTTGGATCCTTGACAGTGTACGCATTTAACCTTGAAGCTACAGGCACCGTCTTTATCATTTTCTATGTTCACGATCTTCATCTTACTCTCGAGTTGTTCAGCGATGACATTACATCGTTCGATGTCTACTTCAGTGGCACCCAGAAGCTCGAGTGCTTCTTTTACAAGCCTTGTACACACGCCACGATAACCGCCTCGTTTGGCGCGAAGTCGTTCAATATTATCCTTCGACATTTATCTGGTTTTCGAATGAAGCCGGCCCCACGTTGGGTGCCATTTAATGATCGTTTGGAATATATACTCACAAAACTTTGGACGGAATAAAACAAGATGTCTTCGCCTTCGATATGTATATTTAACTAACATTTGATTGACATGTTTCTTTTCTATTATGCATTTATAATTATTACTCTGATCTTTCTTACACATACAATATTTTCTACATAAGCTTTTAAAATTTTCACGAAACATTTTACGAAAGGCATCTTCGATTAGAATTAGGTTTTTAGTGTATCTCTTTGCGATGATTCTATATCACCAGAAACTTTCGTCAGAGCCTATAAAATTTTATAAAATTTAACTCGCAGAAAAGCTATTTCCTGCTTTCAGTATATATGAAGGAGTATGGGAAAATCTATCCATGATCTGAACGGAAAAAAATTCGCAAATTTTGGCCAGTGTTAAATCTTGTCCGTAAATACTACTTGTGTTTTTGCCAAGTCTTATCAAAATCAAACCAAAGCAGTTTCATTCATTGTCATAATCATGGCTGCTACACAACATGTATAACTATATGTTAGCACATATAATTTGGACATTGCCTCTACACGAGGATTCAAGGTGTGGCTTAAGCAAAGTCGAACAGAGCATATCTTGTAAAAATTATAGCGTAAAGTATTGTTAAGGTAAACTAAGTTGCTTTACTGAAGAAAAAAGTGCACAGATGTACATACGTTTCTGTTGATATTATGCATTATAAAGTTCAAATTAATAGGGTTACAATGTCAGTTTAAATGTGTACAAACTTTTAGTTTTTGTTTCCTATCCCAAACGAGCAAAGACGACGGAGGCTTGAATGGCTGCAATTGCCGACGGAGAATCGAGTAAACATCGTCTTCGTCAATAGAATAAAATAGTTCATTAAAGCTTAACTTTCTGTAAGCCAGAAAATTAGTTTATAACGCAAACTCACATTGTAACAAAAATCTTGTGACGTCTATCAATAATAACAAAGCAATGAAAGATGTTTTTATTTAAATGAGTGTACGTCACGGTAATGCTTTGCGCGCTTGTACTTACATCTGTTTTTGAAATTCCACTATAGATTACAAAAAGGCATAGCTAATTAACTACAATACACGCAAAAATGCCGGAATTTAAATAAAATCCAGATGGTGTCGTGTTAAGAAATCAACTATAATGAATCACCAGTTTAACAACCTGATCATGAAAAACAGGCTGCAGTGAAAACTACTACAAACCCATTTAGTTAGAGAGCTTAAGCAACAACGTTTTATCCGACAACGGCGTCGTGAGAAATCGCGGAAGACTGGGACGAGCATGACGTTCCCGCGTATCTTTAAAACAGTTAAGCAAAGTTCGTATAGAAAGCGGCGGTAGAAAGTGAACTCTTTTTCATGTCTTCGTTTAAAACAATACGAAACTTTTGTCTTGAGCTTTTTGAAGAAGGTTACATTACAGAATATGAATTGATCATATTGTACAAGGCATATAAATCAAGGAACCCAGAGCTTCCATTCAAAAATTATGAGCCATTTTGTTTAGATAATCTAAGTGAGGATGAATGTAAAGTAGAATTCCGAGCCAACAAACACGGTTTGATTTTCCTCCAACAGAATCTTAGAATCCCTGAAATAGTCAAGTGTCCACAAAGGACAACATGTTCAGGACTGGAAGGGCTATGCATTCTTTTAAATCGTCTTGCTTACCCTTGTCGATTTTCAGACATGATTGGCAGATTTGGGCGACCAGTTCCTGAGTTGTGTATGATTGCAAATATCATCATTGACTTTATTTATAATTATCATAAGCAAAAAATTACAGAATGGAACCATGATCTTTTAAGCCCAGAATATCTACAGGTTTATGCCAATGCCATCCATGAAAAAGGAGCACCTTATGAAAATTGCTTTGGCTTTATTGATGGAACGGTCAGACCAATTTCACGGCCAACAAAACATCAGCGAATTGTTTACAATGGGCATAAAAGAGTTCACTCTTAGAAGTTCCAGGGTGTGGCATTGCCAAATGGTTTGATTGCACATATTTTTGGTCCAGTTGGTATGCTTATATTATTTAAATGAAAATATTATTGTAAACACTATATTGTACAAGCAAAAACAGTCTATAACTCAGGCAAATACTTTCTATATTACAGAAGGAAAAAAACATGATGCTGGTATGCTGGCTGACTCAAACTTCCTTCAAGACCTGGAACAAAATGCTTTTTCTGTGGATGGGAGACCATTATGCATATATGGGGATCCCGCTTATCCACAGAGGATTCATCTACAAGCTCCTTTTGGCATGGGGTAATCACAGACAGAATGAAAGAATTCAACAAGCAAATGAGTTCAGTTAGAGTGTCTGTGGAATGGTTATTTGGAGATGTGATCAACTCATTCCGGTTCATGGACTTCAAAAAAACCCTCAAAATAGGTCTAAGTAGTGTTGGGAAAGCATATATTGTCTGTGCATTGTTAAGAAATTCACTCACTTGCATGTATGGAAATATAACATCCAAGTTTTTTCAGTTAGATCCTCCAACCTTGGAGAATTACTTTATAAGTAATTAATGAATGCCAAAATGACTCATTAAACACACAAACAATTAGCAAGTATGTAACTTGTTATGTAAATACTGACAAGTGTAAGTGAGAAAGTTATTATAATTCAAATAACAAAACATTAAAAGTTCATAGTTACACAGATTGCTAAAACACAACAGTTAAGAATTCTTTCCTTGTAAGTGACAACACAATCTTACTTGGTTGTGAACCTCTAAATAATGTCAAGAAATGCTGTTGACAATTGCTGTTGTTGCTGAAGAAGTAAAGCTTGGCTCTCCATCATTTTAGATTTTGTTGTTGCATCATTTTAAGACTTCTGTTTGTTGTGTAGCTGCTTGGGTACTCAATTGATTTTGTATTTCTTGCTCATTTCGCTTTACTTCTAGTTCTGCACGACGGATTTCAATTTCCTTGCTTGATCTTTCTCTCAAATATTCGACTAATTCACAACTTCCGCGGCGTACTTTCTTAAGCTTAACATCTGAGTTTTGCCATCAGATTTTCTCTTGCATGTTTCGCCCATTCGTTCCAAGGCTGTCATCCTTATATCAATAGCATTTGCATTTTCCTTTTGCTTTTGAACTGATGCTACCTCAAGGAAGCTGTCCTCTTTTTGGCACAACTCTTTAATCAAACTTTCTTTCTCCGACAGTTCGTCGACATCAATGCCACTTGCCCTTTCTTCTTCGCGCATCTTCTGCTTGAACTTAGCTTTTAAAAGACTCCACCGGTCTCGAACACTTCTCTTGTCTTTTAAAGTAAAGACTGGCGCTTCCGTTTTATTTAAGTTTTCGACAATAGAATCCCATACTAATCCCCGATTGGGGCTTCCCTTTTTGTATTGAAACAGATCACTAACCATCATTTCTCTCATCAACAATAAATCGTGCTCATCTGTCCACTCCATTTTCTTTGAATTGTCAGCCATATTAATTTTAGAGAGGTTTTAGAGGCAACCTTGAAACAAGTATTTTCACGTCGGCGCGGAGGCCCGACGGCGTAAACAAAATACATACAACGCTGAACGGAAATAAAAACAACTTCCTCTTGCCGTTGCCGTCCAGTAAAACGTAGTTGCTTAAGCTCTCTGTTATTTGATAACCGGAGGGGCTAGGTGGACTCGGGTGATTATGCAAAATTATGGATGCTGATTGACTTATTTCCGCTAAAATTTTTGCTTTGCTGAAAAAAATATTCTCGACCTCTTTTTGGGGTCTATAGTAGATTAAAGAGAATTTTTTTAAAAAAACAAACACGATATCTTTTTTGGTAGTTCTTTTATAATGCCAAAACTTCTTTTGTTAAATTGTTGGACATTGTATGTAGATATCTTAGTGTCTACAAAAAGTAACATGTCGCTTTCACAGGTGAGATATTTGTTTTATTTGTTCATGAAAGAAGGCCGTAATTACAAACACTGACTTTTACACCAAACATACTGATGCTTTTCTGTTTTGTTTATGAAACACAAAATACTTTTCAATGTAATTGTCAATGTATGAAATTATTTACAAAAACTAATTATTTTGGGAAAGCTCGCTAACACTCATCAGTAAAGCACGTCCACGCTTCTCATCATTTGACACCGTAGTGACGTATCAAATCACGAAGTGGAATTATTGATAACTGGCATGTTGATGATCGTCAGGCTCACGTAAATGGCGTCCTTACTAGAAGTGTTGGTTTTGAATAACGTTTCAAAATCCTTAGCGTAATCAACGTCAATGTCAACACAGTCAAGATAAGAAAAATCTCGGTATTTGTGTCGGGTTCATACCACACATTGTTGCTTGTAAAGCAAATGTGTGGGTGTTTAAGTTTATATAATTACATTTGTATTGTTGTCAGTAAAAGTTCGTGACTCGTCAATCTGACATTTTGTTATTAATAGGTATTATTTGTATTATCACTCAAAAAAAAAAAATTCTAAACTGATCAAAATTAACCAGCACGTATCAAACGAGTAATTGCTGCCAGTAAAGCTACACTACAAACTAAAAGGATAATTGAAGCCAAATAAAATTATTCTTTACTTGGAAGCAGCTACATATTTTTTAGCTTATATTTTGTGTTGACTGTGTTTAAGTGTTAAAGCCACTATGATAGAAGGGCACCAACAGTACCGTGGGCGAAATTTTAATTTGCGATTTGAATCTTCAAAATGTAAAGGCAATTGGACTCAATCAATGCATGAATATTGCAAAATTGACAAGTACGTTGCAATATTCAAAGGAATACAACATACAGTTGACTGTAAGAGGTGTCAAGTCTAATGATCTGTTTCATTGCTCATATTTGTATGATGACTCAAGAAGCTCTGTTGTAAGGTTTTTGAAGTCAATTTGACTGATTCTCTAGAAACATGCCATACTGAGCTGCATTAATAAAAGTATGGTCGAACAATTGCCTAATATAAGCAGAAAGGAAGATTTGCTTAACAAAAAATTCGTTTAGCCGTTTAAGAGCCAATACACCTGACGATACTTTCTTGCAAATAATATCGATATTATCCTTGAAGATAAAAGCTGGTCAAGAGTTCTTCAAAGAATTTTTGATTCATACGCATGTGTGATTGGTTTTCTTCAATTTCAATACAAAGTTGCAAGTTTGAGATCAATTTTGATACCTTCTAATCATTTTTTCAGGAAAGTTACATAAAATAAACTTTATTTACGACCAAAACGACAGAATTATCAATTACCTATGTATTCTTAAAACGGAAAAATTGAAAACTTGTTACGATACGTATAAAAATATTAATGTTTCAGGAAAAATAATGGGAGAGAGACGCAGTTTAAGAGAAATAGACTGTTCTTGTTGAGATCAAAATATGCTACGTGCCCTACATGTGTAATAGCTGGGTGCATGTTTTAATGCTAAAAAACTGTAATATGCTGCATTTATTGAGTAGCTGTATGAGCTCAGTTTATACTGCACACCAAAAAGTGATTACAAAGAGATTCGTGAAGTTTTGACTACACAATATTTCATTATTTTAGATGATTAACTGGCAAACTTTATTAATTAAAAAGAAAGATAATCATGCCTGAAATATATAACGGCTTCCAGAAAACATTGCACAAAAGGTTTTAAATGAAATTTCACATGCATAACAGTCAAACAAAAATTACTAGTAAAAATGTTCTACTGTAAGAAGTTAATAAAGTAAAAACGTTCCAAGAATAATTTGCTTAGCTTTTTCTTTTTTCTTCAACTGTAGCAGGGAGAACGTAAACATCAAGAGCTGGCATTGAATAACCACTTTGAACTTTGAAAAAGCCTCCAAGACCTTCACCATGAACTTCCCATAATGAGCCATCACGGTCTGCTCCTGAACCTTTGTCTTTCCATATGGGAGAAGGATCCATTACGCCCTGAACAACAAATTCTTTTTTAATGCAGGCATACTTTGATCTTAGTGCACTCGTTGGTGGGTCGTAGCCTTTGGTAACCAGATCACCAAGTGCAACATAATCTTTGGAGGAACAACTCTCCAAAACGAGCAATGTTCACTACCGCCCGTACCTTTATCGTTCCATACTTCCTCAAAATGTACGGGTTCGGCCACCATTTCAGGTTTCGATGGCTTTACCAATATTATAGAAGATGTTGCTGGATTTTTGGCACTAGTATGACCAACAGCTGCTTGACCAATTATAAAAAAACCGTAAGGAATTTGAAACAAAGCTGCCTGAAAAACGGAGAGATCCATATCTGCACCAGTATCAACATCAGTATACACTCTTGTGAGTGCAGGAGCTGTTACAACGGTTAGGCCACTCATTTTTTTTTAAATGTCAACAGATGTCTGCTTCGTCTATAATATGTATGATATAATTGGGACAAGCTTAGCACAGACTATTTATAATCAACCATCGTGACGTATTTTACAAAGTTTTACATTATTATACACACAAATCTTTTATGCAAGAAAAAATCTAATAAGGCGGCAGACAAAACGATTTCCGCCCCCTTTTTTTTTTCAGGATGTTCTATACTTGATCGTGAGTCATCTTAAGAGCAACGTCGCGCGTATTTTTTTGCCGAATCTTATCGCAGCATCTATCATTATATCATAAAAAATACATTTTAGATAGTTTGTGAGTTGTTAGCAGAATAACAATTTGTGCCAGCAAATATTTAGGCAGCACCAGCATAACAAAATAAAATGAGAACAGTTGACAAAAATTTTGTTCAATATGCTACACAATGATAGTTTTGAAAATTAAAATATTTGTTGACATTTCGTATTACAAGATCCTGTTTAGAGTAACTAACTCTCTGCAAATGCAAAGCTGGGCTTTTGTCAAAACTGTCATTGAATTGTGCTTGCCACAACAAACGTATAGATTAAAATGTATTGTCTTGACTGTTACAATATCAAAGAAGGACCAGGCCTACTTAATTAAAATTAACAGTTATTGCCACTAGTCTCATGTGACTCCGTGGTTACGAAAAAAGATCACGAAGTAACTATAGAATTATTGTTGATAACTGGCATGTTTATGATCGTCAAGGTAAGTGCTTTGTTCGTGCTGGTTTTGAATGACGTTTTAAAATTCTTACAATAACCATCGCCAAAGTCAACTCAGTCAAGAAAAGAAAAATCTCAGTATTTTGTCGGGTTCATACATCACATGGTTGTTTGAGAAGGGAAAATGTTGGTGTCTAAGTGTTTATAATTTGTTTTGTTGTCATTATAGTTCGTGACTCGTCAATGTGATATTAGGTTATTAATAGATATTATGAGTATATTATTATTCAAAACAAAACCTCCTATGCCGATCAAAAATAAGCAGCATGTATCCAACGAGCTATTGCTATCGGTAAAACCACACTAAACTATAATGATAATAGAAGCCCTAACTAAATTGCCGAAAGTCCTGTTTACGAAAGCTTTATGACATTTGCATCAGTATGAGGTGGTTATAAGGCAAAACACCTAAATTGATAAGATAAATAATAGGTTTGTAGGAAAAAAAATATAGTTATAAGCCTTAAACTATACTAATGACGAAGCTTGTATGGCAAGGAAAATGGTTCAAAATAAGGTATAGCATTGTGTGGTTAAAACTATATTTTAGATATTCGGTGAGTTGTAAGCACAATAACAATTAGTGCCAGCAAACAATGAGGCAGCACCAGCATAACAAAATAAAATGAGTAGAGCATAATGGGATAATCGTTGAGTAATAAGGGGCCTGGACCCAACCGTTATTGTTGTTTGTCATTCGTAAACGAATGACCTTTGTATTTTGTCTCTCAATATATATTTTACAAGATCCTCATTTCGTGAAATAGACTAAGTCTTATCTATGACAAACAACAATTAAAACGACCTATAACGGCAGACGAGCGAAATACAGACGAAAAGATCGGACAATCCAACACTACAAGTAGTTCGAAACGTTTAACACTTGCGAGCAACAACAACTGCCACGCATGGAAGGTCCACCAATGCGTCTCATGATTGACCCGAATGCGAAACCTAAAGCACACCATACACCAATCCCAGTCCCTTTACACTGGCAGGACGAGGTGAAAGCTGGCCTTGACCAAGACGTGGCCCTCGGCGTGATTGAACCCGTCCCAATCGGCGAGCCTGTCACCTGGTGCCACAGGATGGTCATCTGTGCGAAAAAGAACGGTAAACCACGACGAACCGTTGACCTACAGGCACTAAATGCAAACGCCACTAGGGAGACCCACCACACCCAGAGCCCTTTTCACCAGGCACGCTCTGTTCCCAGTGGCAAAAAGAAGTCAGTGTTCGACTGCTGGAACGGTTATCACAGCGTTCCCCTTCACCCAGACGACAGACACCTCACCACCTTTATCACTCCCTGGGGTCGCTATCGGTATAAGTCAGCGCCACAAGGGTACATTGCCTCGGGGGACGGTTACTCACGCCGGTTTGATGAGATTGTATCACACATTCCAAACAAAACCAAATGCATAGACGATACCCTACTTTGGGCAGATAACCTCACCCAAAGTTTTCATCAGGCTGTCGAATGGTTAGATATCTGCGGTCGAAACGGCATTATCCTCAACCCAGACAAATTTGTCTTCGGCTCAGACACAGTCGAGTTCGCAGGGTTTGAAATCACATCAAACTCTGTTCGCCCAAGCAGGAAATTCATCGATGCTATTCGCCATTTCCCAAAGCCGCGCAGTATCACTGACATCCGCTCTTGGTTTGGCCTGATCAATCAAGTCTCATACGCATTTGGAGCCACTGAACGCATGCTACCGTTTAGAAAACTGCTAAAACCCGGCACGAAGTTTTATTGGGACGAGGAACTTAACACACTCTTTGAGGAATCCAAATCCGTTATCATAAATGAAATCCACGAGGGCGTTCGCATCTTTGACAAGACACGTCCCACTTGTCTTGCCACTGATTGGTCAAAACACGGCATCGGCTTCTGGCTACTGCAAAAACACTGTGAATGCCAGTCGACTGGACCACTATGCTGCCACACCGGGTGGAAGATCAGCCTGGTCGGCAGCCGCTTCACATGCTGCTGAATCCCGATATGCACCGATAGAAGGGGAGGCACTGGCGGTCGCAGACGCCCTTGACAAAGCCAGGTTCTTCGTGCTCGGTTGCACCAACCTCACAATCGCCGTAGACCACAAACCCCTGCTCAAACTATTCGGTGATCGGACATTGGAAAACATCCCAAACCCCCGCCTACGTAATCTCAAGGAGAAGACACTGAGGTACAGATTCAAAATGATCCATATCCCTGGTATCCGTCACAAAGCCGCCGATGCGATCTCCCGCCACCCCACAGGTCCAGAGAACCCCACCATGCTCTACCTCCAGGACGACATAGCAGAGTTGAAGGACACTACCACACACACCGGCTTTGACGAAACCATCGCTTCACTCGCTTCCCTAGCACTTACAAACGTGGCCACAACCTGGGACAGGGTACGCATGGCAACTGCAAGCGACACCACTATGCACGATCTCATGAATGTCATTGAATCTGGCTTTCCAGCTTCACGTAATGACCTGCCAACACCATTACAAGAATACTACCAGTTCCGCCACAGCCTCTACACAGTGGACGGCGTCATCATGTACAGAGATCGTGTGGTTATCCCACCACTGTTACGCAAAAATATCCTGGAAGTTCTACACTCGGCACACCAGGGCATATCATCTATGACATCCCGCGCAGAGGACTCAGTCTTCTGGCCGGGAATCACCTCAGATATTGCAGCAATGCGTACGCAATGCAACCACTGCAACCGGATGGCACCATCCCAACCCAGCGCACCACCCACACCAACCATCTCACCAGCCTACCCTTTCAGTGCATCTGTGCGGATTATTTCCACTACAAAGGATCCAACTATCTCGTAATCGTAGACCGTTACTCTAACTGGCCTATTATCGAACGAGCCAAAGACGGTTGCGACGGACTAATCAATTGCCTACGTCGCGTCTTCACCACCTTTGGGATCCCAGACGAATGCGCTACTGACGGCGGACCAGAATTCATCGCCGTCAAAACACGGCAGTTCCTCAAACAATGGGGAGTACACCACCGCCTCGCCTCCGTTGCATTCCCGCACTCAAATTGCCGCGCGGAGGTTGCCGTTAAAACTGTGAAACGCCTCATCACGAACAATACCAGCCCCACTGGTAGCCTCAACACAAACGCCTTACAAATTGCTGTTCTACAATATCGTAACACGCCTGATACCGACACGAAATTATCACCGGCCCAATGCGTCTTCGGTAGACCCATTAAGGATTTCATACCAATTTTCCCCGGCCGTTATAGGCCACACGTCACCTGGAGGAAACACTCAATGCTCGCGAGGAGGCTTTACGAAACCGGCACATGAGAGCGGCGGAACGTTGGTCAGAACACACAAGAAGATTACCACCTCTGTCCATTGGACATCACGTAAGAATACAGAACCAAACAGGACCGTACCCTACGAAATGGGACAAGACTGGAACAGTCATCGAAGTCCTTCAACACGATCAATACCGCGTCAAAGTCGACGGGTCCAACAGAATTACACTAAGAAACAGAAAATTTCTGCGGCAATTCACACCTGTACAAGAGCAGTTACCCAAAATACTATTGATACGGACCTGCTGCTGATACCAAAAGTCTCAACGGAGAACCTTACTCCCAACAAAATGACAGCCAGCAGAAAACAAACACCGTCATTACCATGTCTAAGACCGGCGACACAGACTGACACCCCGGAGCCAGCACCACTACCGAGCACAGATACCGCAGATGGAACTTCACCAAACGCAACCAAAATACCTGAAGATGCCAGTGAACCTACACCAGCGACCACAAAGCCAAGCAAGAAAGCACCACTAGCTCTACGCAGATTACTCGATTTCAACAAGAAAGGGCTGTTAGAAAATTGAGAGGATGAACAAATATCATAGAACAACTTTATATTACGCTTTCCTATACTAGTAAAGACTTAGGGGGGGATAGAGCATAATGGGATAATCGTTGAGTAATAAGGGGCCTGGACCCAACCGTTATTGTTGTTTGTCATTCGTAAACGAATGACCTTTGTATTTTGTCTCTCAATATATATTTTACAAGATCCTCATTTCGTGAAATAGACTAAGTCTTATCTAATGAGAACAGTTGACAAAAATTTTGTTCAATATGCTACACAATGATAGTTTTGAAAATTAAAATATTTGTTGACATTTCGTATTACAAGATCCTGTTTAAAGTCACTAGCTCTCTGCAAATGAAAAGCTTGGCTTTTGTCAAAACTGTCATTGAATTGTGCTTGCCGCAACAAACGTATAGATTAAAATGTATTGTCTTGACTGTTACAATATCAAAGAAGGACCAGGCCTACTTAATTAAAATTAACAGTTATTGCCACTAGTCCCTTGTGACTCCGTGGTTACGAAAAAAGATCACGAAGTAGCTATAGAATTATTGTTGATAACTGGCATGTTTATGATCGTAAAGGTAAGTCCTTTGTTCGTGCTGGTTTTGAATGACGTTTTAAAATTCTTACAGTAATCATCGCCAAAGTCAACTCAGTCAAGAAATGAAAAATCTTAGTATTTTGTCGGGTTCATACATCACATGGTTGTTTGAGAAGGAAAAATGTTGGTGTCTAAGTGTTTATAATTTGTTTTGTTGTCATTATAGTTCGTGACTCGTCAATGTGATATTAGGTTATTAATAGATATTATGAGTATATTATTATTCAAAACAAAACCTCCTATGCCGATCAAAAATAAGCAGCATGTATCCAACGAGCTATTGCTATCGGTAAAACCACACTAAACTATAATGATAATAGAAGCCCTAACTAAATTGCCGAAAGTCCTGTTTACGAAAGCTTTATGACATTTGCATCAGTATGAGGTGGTTATAAGGCAAAACACCTAAATTGATAAGATAAATAATAGGTTTGTAGGAAAAAAAATATAGTTATAAGCCTTAAACTATACTAATGACGAAGCTTGTATGGCAAGGAAAATGGTTCAAAATAAGGTATAGCATTGTGTGGTTAAAACTATATTTTAGATATTCGGTGAGTTGTAAGCACAATAACAATTAGTGCCAGCAAACAATGAGGCAGCACCAGCATAACAAAATAAAATGAGAACAGTTGACAAAAATTTTGTTCAATATGCTACACAATAATATTTTTGAAAATTAAAATATTTGTTGACATTTCGTTTTACAATATCCTGTTTAAAGTCACTAACTCTCTGCAAATGCAAATCTTGGCTTTCGTCAAAACTGTCATTGAATTATGCTAGCCGCAGCAAACGTATAGATTAATATGTATTGTCTTATCTGTTACAATATCAAAGAAGGACCAGGCCAAATAAATTAAAACTAACAGTTATTGCCACTAGTCTCATGTGACTCCGTAGTGACAAAAAAAAGATCACGAAGTAGCTATAGAATTATTGTTGATAAATGGCATGTTTATGATCGTCAAGATAAGTGCTTTGTTCGTTCTGGTTTTGAATGACGTTTTAAAATTCTTACAGTAATCATCGCCAAAGTCAACTCAGTCAAGAAAAGAAAAATCTCAGTATTTTGTCGGGTTCATACATCACATGGTTGTTTGAGAAGGGAAAATGTTGGTGTCTAAGTGTTTATAATTTGTTTTGTTGTCTTTATAGTTTGTGACTCGTCAATGTGATATTAGGTTATTAATAGATATTATGAGAATACTATTATTCAAAACAAACCTCCTATGCCGATCAAATATAAGCAGCATGTATCCAACGAGCTAATGCTATCGGTAAAACCACACTAAAGCGCGGGCCACACTATCGTCGAAATGCAACGAATTTCGTGACGAGTCGCTCGTCAACGAGAAAATATGACGATATGGACGAATTCGTCGCCGTTGAGCATGCACACCGAAATCGTCAACGAGTGACGAGTAATTGTTGCATATCTACTCTGATTGGACAAGAAAAATCACATGACTAATGTTTACTTTCACTGTGCTGTGGCAAAATGGCGGTTGGCAAGAAATATTAATTGAGCTAGTGAGAGAGAGGCGATGTTTGTGGGACAAATTTCATCCTGACTATAAAGATACACGCAATATAAAGAAAAATAATTGGAAGGATGTTGCTCGGGAACTGAAAGTTGCGACCAATAGAGTTTGACGAAGCTCTTGCAACAACGTGTCATACAAGCCCTTTCTTCTCGCCTTTTATTTATGGGATGTACCCAGAACCTTCTTTGTATGTACGTCGTTTTGCAGAAATTAGAAGCAGTAGAATTTTTCTCTTCAATAATAGAAGTTTCTTTTTGCGCTGATAATCGTCCATGCTTGTACGGAAAATCGTTACAATGTGGCACATGTACTCGTCACGACGGCTCGTTGACGAGCGACTCGTCACGAAATTCGTTGCATTTCGACGATAGTGTGGCTCGCGCTTAAGCTATAATGATAATTGAAGTTCCAACTATATTGTCGAAAGTCCTGTTTGCGAAAGCTTTACGACATTTGCATCATGAGGTCATGAGGCCAAACACTTAAAGTGATGAGATTGTTGTCTTTATAGTTTGTGACTCGTCAATGTGATATTAGGTTATTAATAGATATTATGAGAATACTATTATTCAAAACAAACCTCCTATGCCGATCAAATATAAGCAGCATGTATCCAACGAGCTAATGCTATCGGTAAAACCACACTAAGCTATAATGATAATTGAAGTTCCAACTATATTGTCGAAAGTCCTGTTTGCGAAAGCTTTACGACATTTGCATCATTATGAGGTCATGAGGCCAAACACTTAAAGTGATGAGATTATAAGCCTTAAACTATACTTATGACCAAGCTTGTATAGCAAGGAAATTGGTTCAAATTAAGGAATAGCATTGTGTGGTTAAGCAGTCAAGAGAAGTTATTTATGGTTTGGAAGATGGTTAATTAAACCTTTTAAAAAACTATCAATTATACAGTTGGAATACAGCATGCTTTCCTATAAGTCAGATGCACTTTAACATTGTTTTTGAAAATACCGTCTTGATTGAATATCAAAATACTAAGTATTGATTAAAAAATTATGGTTTATAACCTTTGAAATCTAACCCTGACTTATTTTATTTTAAAACAGTCAGCTTTAAGTAATGAAAATTTTAAACTTGAAAATGGATCATTTTGCTGCCACTTCATTGCCAATCTCTGAAGACAATATTTTGCAACATCGACGTCGAAGCGACGCACCTCTGTTTGATATTCTTTATTTGGAAGCAATTATATTTTGTTTTAATTAATATTTTGCGTTGCCCGTGTTATAGCCATTATAGGAAGGTACGAACAGTACGGTGGGCCAAATTTTAATTTACAATTTGAACTTTCAAAGTGTAAAGGCATTTTGGAATCGATTAATGCATGAATAATTTAAAATTGACAAGTACGCTGCATTATTCAAAGGAATACAACATACGGTTGACTATTGCACGCCAAGCATTACAAAAGTGTATCGAGAATTCCAACCACTAGTCGAGAATCTTAAGTGACATATGAGAAAAGCAAGCATGTTTGAGAAAATCGACCATACGTCGAGATTTCTTACTGGCAAACTGGACAGCGGTTGCAAAACGTATATTATAAATACTTCGTGTAACGGATACGTTAGAATAACATTTAACTTGGGAGTTTTTTAATGAATTTGAAGACTTTATATGAAAAATTTCCCAAGCATTATTGAATAAAGATACAATAGTTGCAGAACATTGCAAGAGTAAACTAGAAGACTTTTTTTCCATAGTTGTTGCGATTTCGGGGGCGGTGAATGAGAGTGAAAATACTGCTGAACTTGATAATAATAGTTCACCAACTGCTCACGAACATATAGAATGATCATATACCTGCACTGTTACACCAACAACAAAGCTAACACTGTGCTACAATATTTTAAGAGTGGAGTCCAAACATTTAGTCTCCCATCTCGTGTAAGAGGGGATCAAGGACTTCAAAATGTCGACGTGGCACGTTTTATGGTTAATCAAAAGGGTACAAACAGAGGGAGTTTTATAACTGGCAGGAGCGTACACAATCAACGAATTGAGTGGTTGTGGGCTGAAGTTAATAGAGTGTTGTCACCAGGGGCGGATCTAGAGTATGTCAAATCCGTCGCGCGACTAATGTTTGAAATTCAAAATTTACCTATTCATATTAATTAAAAATTCATTAAATATTTTTACTTTATTATCGCATTTGCTTCGTGATAAAAATCCGGCTTTATTTATTTTTTAAAACTAATGACTAATGCAATGAATATCTCTTTGGTAACCAGATCAGTTGAATTTTAATTGACCTGGAATAACCGACTGATAAGCGGGGTGGCTTGACTGGTTCGACTGATGAAGGAGTCTATGAACGCCAAAAACGCTTATTTCATTGGTCAATAGCCAGATCAGTGGACGATCTGGAGCAATCTCGACTGATAAGCGGGGTGGGCGGACCTATAAGGGAGTCCACGTCCTATCGTGTATGTGCTCTTACTATGATTGGTTTGACCGATTTCCACAAATAGCCAACTGAACTAACATGGTCAAACTCACTCTCTGAATTGAATGTTTGATCGTTTCATAGTAATTTTCTAAAGAATGATAGAAACTAAACTACAATCAGATGGAATTTATGAAAATCTTTTACAAATTCATATATTGACATGAATGCTGCTTTCCAAAATGGGAATTTTTTCAAGAGGGCGAAAAATTTATGGATGAATTGTAAATGCTTGGCAAAGACGATCTCGCAAGCGACATTTCAGTCATTGATGTTCAAAAGCAAGCAAACATTGTTTTGAGTTTTATCAGCAGAAATTTACATCCAAAATCGTAAGTAAAGGACAAGTGAAGTGTATGCATGAATGTAACATATCAAAGTCAATTTATGCGAGTGTGTGATGCGATTTATGTCAATATGGCGTATGGTAAGCAGATTGATGCTTCTAAAGGACTTGCCCAAAGGACTTTTAGCTATGATTTCTTTACTGCATGGGGAATCGTGACCATTATATGGCAGCGAAATCCTACATTCCTGCAAATATATTTCAATGGACTAAAAATCTGTAGCCATAAGGCGCCATACTATTATTTACTTTATTATAAACAAATGTTTGGGGCTTTTCAGTTTATGATCATTGATCATTCAACCATTGGACAGTTATACTACATATTGTTTAAGGTTTGAGAAAACTTACATTAATTACATGAGAAGCTGTTTACTATAACCTCTGACTTTGAGTCTTCTGATCCATGAAGCTTTTTATTTTGACAATTTGACTGGAATGGTATTAAACCTGAGTATTTCACATACATGAAATGTTGTCCTATGTCACTTATTGTCCCCTTTTCCAACTGAACACCTCATGTAGAGATGTAAAGGTGTGTTAATCTACGGCTCATACCAGATTGTTTGCCATAAATTCCAAAGGGCTATTGATGTATGAAAAGCATTTTCTATAAAGTAAAAATGTCTTCCTATGTATGCAGATAAACCTTGAAATTTGGCAAAACAGCAAAGTATTTTTCATGATCACTAGGTAATTTTTCTGATGATCATTATAATTTCTAAACTAAATTAATTCAGATTTACATTTAAACGAGCTTTTATCATATGAAAAGATATTTATCATAACCAGTAAGCATGACACATGAACCAATTTTAACATTCATGTAATTATATATTTAAAGACATGTTGGTTACATTCTGTTTGTATTTGATAATACAATGCTACTAGTGATTGCTACATATCACACCTTGCAGAAAATAATAGTCAAGTGAAATGCCTAATAAACATTTATGGCATTAAGCTGTCCTTAACTGCAAATTTTCACTCTGATAATTTTGCTTAATCTTTGGCAGAAAAAAATTTTGAGTTTTTTCTCAAACGGTGAATTTGCTGGCACTGATGTGGAGATGGGTAAAGGGTTACAATAAACTTGCATGGTTTAAAGTCTGAGCTTTTCTCTATCTATGAACTGTCATAAATATTTGGCAAAACATTCAAGTATTGTTCACTTCATATTTTTTTTGAAAAAAACGTAAGCAAAATGTGTTGTTTTTACGCAAAACGATGCCCACAAAATACATTTTGTATTGCTCTAAAACGCTGAAATGGCATTTTTAAGGCTCTGAAGCTCAAAATTTCTCAGGGGAGAATGCCTCAGACCCCCCAGGTGCGGAGTGCCTCCGACGTTTTATGACTGATGTTTGAAAAATCCTAGATCCGCCCCTGGTTATCACCGCTATACAAAGATCTCTTTAGAGTTTTGGAAAAGAACAAGCTTTTGAACTCACTGGATGAAATTGATTTATTTGCACTACATATGTGTTTCTTCCACGAATCAATGCTTCATTATCAGAATTAACATCACAGTGGAATCACCATAGTATTAGAACAGTTGGTAACCAAACACCTCTGGTACTGTTGGAAAGTAGTATTCATATGATGCCAGATGAAACAACTATTTTAAACTATGAAAGCTATGGAGTTGATTATGATGCACCCTTGTCGGAATTAAGCAATAATAACGTTGCTGTGCCAGCTACAGAGATTGACCTTAGTGAGGATCAAATTAACTACCTCCAACAAAATATTGTTCATTTAGAAGATGACGGAAATAATGGGATTGAACATTATGTAAAAGCAGTTGATATTATTAAAAATTATGTTGTTCCCATCATACTTTATTAAATTTATTGCTCGCTTGATGGTAAATATTAAACAAAAAATTTTTTAATTGAAAAGAAATTCCAATTCAAACTTAAGGTGCAATAGCGAAAGTCTCGGTGTTGTTGTAGATCTGCTGAGCCTCTCTCCGACAAATTTTTTCTAGAAATTTTAAATTGGCTTTAAAATAATGATAACAATCAAATGCTCTAAAATTCTAAGAAAAATTGCTAAAACATAAGCA